CCCTCATTTTGTTATGCTTTGTCAGCCAAAAGTCTTTTAATCTAATGCTGTTAAACCCCACTAGCATCCCCCTTCTCAGCATCTGTCCCACTTAAAAGTCACCATTCTGGGAATTATAAAGAATTATACAGGGTTTCAAAGGATGCTCCTAGGTGAGTTATTAGCAATGGGAACCTGAACTCCAGCAATTTCAGCATAAAAGCAGAAGGCTTTCCTGACAGAAGTGGAAATATTTTCAAGCTCTGGAAGAATTAGAAATCTTTACATCACCTGGATAAGAGATAGGAGGAGGGAACCAGACATCTCCAGTCTGGCTGACAGATGTGTATCCCACCAGTGAATGGGATACCTGGATAAATACTGTCTCCCGAGTTTGTAATCAATTCCCTCATCCATAGCAAGTGACAGAAAGCGTGGCTTTGCTGTGTACCTGGAATGATACCAGGAAGAACAAAGAGGAAGAGATTTATAAGAAAACCAGAGTACTGATTTAGTAAAAAATTACATCCCGTTAGTCTGTATTTTGAGTGTGCCTGAATAATCAGTGCCAAAATCTCAGTGCTTTAAAAATCCATTACATGGGAAATACAGGCATTAATCCTAAATTGCAATGAGGGGAAGAAGGGAAGGGAAGAAGACTTCAGCCTCTGCTGTGGATGCTCATTCTGAAAGTCTTTAATCTCTACGAAGTCATGTTTGAGATGCAGTTGCAGTTTCTGGGGAAATAAACATGATGGCACACAAAGGAAAAAACACTGTCAAGTGGGGAGGAGGCAAGAATAGCAGGTGAGCCCTGATGAAACAAAGGACTCTTGCTCTCCAAGGGAAGCCTCTAACAAAACAAAACATGAGGCAGAGCGACTGAAAACGTCTTAGAAAAATTGCCTGTGCTTAGGTGAGTAGGACATCTGTGAGTCTTTATCTAAATTACACAATCTGAGGCATTTCGCCCATTCAGTGTCTCTAGGCTTCTTAAATGAGAGGGGAGGTTTATCTTCTTCCCATTACAACTGCAAATGTGTGTCTAAATCCTCGTGTATGTATGCACCATTACTGACTTACAAATACCACATTGCTTCTCAGCAGTTCTTACTCAATCTCCTGTGGTTCAGGGAACACTAAAACACAAAGATTATTTTTCACTTGGTATTATAGATAATATCTTTTTCTTTAAGGTTCTCAACTCTCTTGGGGCCTCTCCCTCAGGAAAATTCAACTCTTTGACAACAAAGCAGTGACTCAAAATGAAAAAACACTTTTCTTCTGTGCTCTGACCTTCGCTGTAGGCATTGCAAAGGGCTTAAGTGAAGAAACAAAAGATCAGGAATCCTTCTATGCAGTACATGCTCTTAACCTTCATCACTGCTGGAAATGAGTCCCACTTTAATCTGAACAGGGACAAACACAAAACCAGCTCTCGTCATCAGACCTTGGAACAACAATTCCTGCAGCTGTGCAGAAATTACATTCTCGGCATGGCAGATCTCCGTCTAAAACTCTAAAGGAAGAGGAAGGTCTGCACAAACACTCATGTCTTTACATTCCTGAGCTCTACTATAGTCCTGCCTTCATGTCAAAAACACCGAATAAATGTTTTAGCCCTCCTGAAGGGCAGGGCACAACTGCAGGTAAAATATCAGAAACCTGACAGAGGTCTGTGGACAGCAAGGAAAAAAAAAAAAAGAGATCAGAAGAAAAAAAACTTTGATTCATATTTTTGGCATTTAGACTAGATGGTCATTTTAGGTCCCTTCCAACTGAAATTTTTCCATTGTCTTCTATTTTATTTAATATTAGTGTAAATAGTGAGAAAACAAAGCACTACAAGCTAAGAATGATTTGGAAGTAGGTTACTCCACTGAAAAAGTTGCTTTTTAGGACCTCAATCCAGCCAGGGCAACAATTCCCCTGAGCTTCAAAGCCCCATCTTTCAGATGCTGTGGTATTTCTTTCCAGCCCTTTCACTGTGGGACTGGGCAGCCAAGCATGGGGATGCTGTTGAATAAAAATGAATTTGCTATCAGCTCTTTTGCCCAAACCAAAGGAAAAAAAATGGCCAGCTGGAGGTTAGAAGAGCAAATAGTGGCTCATGGTGTAACCAAAGAAGAATGTGGTTCATGTGGTGGAGTTCTATGTACACATTTCTTGACATAATTGGCAGTGATTACACCAAATAGAAATGGCAATTCAGACCATCCAACAACAAATCAGTGATCACAGCCCTTCCAGGCAGGCAGATGGAGAGCCCAGGGAGAGTTCAGCCTGATTTTTGGTTTCAAAGTGCAAAGAACACTGCAGAGATAGGTCTGGGAAAGCAAACCAGCTGCTGCACCCCCTCGGCCACGGCACATGTGCACCCAGCTCTGGACATGGATGCACAGCGTGGCTTTGTCCCAACAAAGGAGCACTTGTGTGTTCACTGCTCACCCCCACAGTCATATCTGCTTAGGTCAAAAGGGATTTGGGTGAAAATGAGGGGCATTTACACAGAGCTTCATTTTTTTCTCTTTGCCTTGTCTTTTCTGAGCTTTGCCTCTCAGTCCTACATGATGAAAGCCCTTATGGCCCAGCAGTTATAATTTGTCCTCCATAAGCAGTTTTTACAGACATGTGTACTGTTCTTCTACTTCCAAGCAGGACAGAGAAGTACCGAGCATTAGAGTAAGAATGAATAAAGCAGTGAAACATGGAGGAGGAATAGCTCCCTTGCTCTTCTCCCTGTCTCTCATCTGTCCCAAGTACAAGGTCACTGTGAGCTGCAGGTCTCCTGTGTGTGACCCAGCTGCCCCATGGTCACACTCCCTGCTACCCCATGCTCCTATGGGCATAACAGGGAAGTGGATTAAGGGATCTATGGCCCAACTGCCCCAACAGTTACAGTCACCATGCGGGACAGAGGCCACAAACCTGATGCTGAAAATGCCTGAAATGAGCATATGAATGAGGCAGCAGGAGGGGAAGCCCCATGGGCCACATCAAGGTGTCCCACCTGTCTGACTTCTACATGGCAAACCCTGGCAGGACTCCTCCAGAATACAAAGGCAGCAGACAAACACAAAGAAGAAGTAAAATGCTCTCAAGCAGGAAAGATTTGGGTTCCCTGTTCTTCTTTGTATACCAAAGTAGCAAAAACTTGCAGAGAATGGAAAAAAGGCTAAAGCAAGAACAGCAGCAGCAGCCAAAGACAATTACTATTTCCTAAAAAACAAATAGTTCTTTCAAAAACAATTTTAAACCCTAAAGAGAAAGATTGCAGGGGACAGATCCATTTTTCCCACTGTGTTGATTTGTAAAGCTAAGTATGTACCACCTGAGTATTGCATAAAATACCAATTAGAAACATTTGTTTTGGGCAAAAGAAGAAACGATGAGCCACTCTGGTTAACTGCCATCTCCGAGAGCAGCAGTCTTTTTCCATTTGTCTTCTCTTCCACTAAAAACAGAGGAGTGTTTTATGAGCAAACAGTGAAAGCTCAGGTCTCATTTTCCAATTTGAAGTCTCAGAAGTACTCAGCCCTTTGTTCTTACCCTGTAACTATCCTCCAGTCACCTGTAATCATACTCAGTAGTCTCAGCGTCTTGCAGCTGCCCTTTATCAGTTATTTCCCCCCCTCCACGATTTTCCCTGACAGGTTTTCTCTGGATAGCAAAGCTGTGTGGCTCTGCCTGAAATCAGAACTGACTCATGCCCCTAATGCCTATAGGAGATAGCACTTCTGACCCACGAAGGGAAACAATTTTCCACCAAATTGTCTCCACTTGGCTGTCAATATTTAGCTTAACTCCACCTGCCTCATTGCTTATCTCTAGATCTGATGTGTTTTACTAATGGAAAAGGCATCCTTCTCTTCTGCTGGGTTGGGTGGCCCACTGTGCCCATCAAAGTACCACAACATGTTAAACTTGTACTGACTTTAGTTTTAGGCTAGTCTCTAGTTTTAATATCTAGTATCTTGTACTGACTGTAGTTTTAGGCGAGTATCTGACTAGATGTTTACATGGTGATACACTCAAAATCTGTGCAAAATGCTCAAATATTAGCTTTACTAGCCCAGTGCAAAGTACAACATTCAAGCATTGGAACAGGCTATCCCGGGAAGGGGTTGAGTCACCATCCCTGGACGTATTTAAAAGACACGCCGATGTGGCACTTGGGGATGTGGTTTAGCGGTGGGCTTGGCAATGATGGGTTAACGCTTGGACTCGACGACCTTAAGGGTATTTTCCAACCCGACCGATGCGATGATTCCACGTTAGAAATGAAGCGCTTACATTGCAGAGACCTGGGTGCCGGGTCCCTAGAGGAGGGTGCGGGATCCCTTGGGTCTCTGACCACCTGGGCAGCCTGTCCCCAGCTTTCGTGATCCCCCCCATAGCTCGCAGCCCCGGGCGTCGGATCGGAACCCCAGGGCAGGACGGAGAGGTCCCCGGCTGCCCGGGGCGGGGGCAGCGCTCGCCTCCAGGATGCCCACGGGACACAGGAGGAAGGGGCACACCGGGGAGAACCTCCAGGGTGGGCAGCACCCCTCTGCAGCGAGGGGGACGGAGAGCTCTTCCCCCGGGGATGATCCGCCAGGGCGAGCCCAGGACTCGGCAGCGGGGCTGACAAGGGAATACGCCGAGCAGATCCCAGCTTTGGGGGCGGCGCGGCGGAACCCCCGCCCGGGAGGAGACAAAACTTGCCCGGCGGGGCCGGTCCGGACCCCCGCCCCGCCCGCGCCCCGCCCCGGAACCGGGCGCGGCTCCCGCGGGCGGCAGAGCCCGGCGGCGGCGGGCGCGGCTCGGGGTCCCTGCCCGCAGCAGGGTCGCTGGCACTGAGGGTCCCTGCCCGCAGCAGGGTCTGTGCCGTCCCCGCCGCAGGAAAGCCGCCGCGGTAAGGCTGAGCTCTGCGGGGGCGATCGCGGGAGCGGGGTCGGGAGAAGTTGGGCTAAACCCTCCCGGGGCTGCAGCCCGGCCGGGCATCCCCGCCCCGGCCGTGCCCCGCTGGGACGGGCCGCTGGGACGGGCCCGCGGCCGCCGAGGACGGAGCTCGGTGGGCGGCTCGGAGCCGCAGGAGGGATGGCAGAGCGCAGGGGGATGGAGGCGCGACAGCAGCAGGGAAGTGTAGGTGGGACCCAGTTTGGGCTGCAGGTGCGGCAGCATCGCTGGGACGGGGCCCCGCTGCCGCTTTGAGGGTACACGGGAGAGGTGCGGGCCGGTCCGGGCTGCGGATGCAACAGCGCGGTGTAAATATGGGTGGGATGGAGCCGGGATTGCAGGTGCGAGAGTGGAGCACACACAGGTGGAGGCGGTCCGGGCTGCATCGCTGGCACGATGCGGGGTTTGGGTTGCCGCTGCTGGATGTGGTCCGGGTCGCGGGTGCGGGTGTGAGGCCGGCCGGATTGCACGTGTGGGTGCAACGTGTGCGGCTGCAGGTGTGATGTGCGGGCGGGATGTGGTCCTCTGTGCCTAGGGCTGGCAGCGCGTCGTGGATGGATGCTGTGCCCGCGTCTGCGCTGGGCCACTTTCAAGCTTTTATTTTGTAGAATTCTTTTCTGTTATTCAGTGGTTTTCAGGCGAGGTTTCCCAAGTCCCGCCCGGTTTTCCCACATAGTTCTCTCCAGCCTCATCCTCCCCTCTGCTCAATAACTCTGCTGTGATTAAATAGCTTCTTGCAACATCAGTATACAGAGCTGAATTCCAGAGCTCGTGGGTGGGGAAGGAGTGCTCAGACATACTGATTTTAGAAGAAATAGCCCAAAACGGTGCTCGTGGTTGTCCCTCCCTGTACCAGATCAGCACTGTGGAACCGTATGTTCTTTTTTTGGATTCTTAAGACTGAAGAATTTCTCCGGGTAAACACAGTGCAAAACACCTCAAGCTCCCTAGCAGACCTGCAACTCAAACTTCTGGCTTGAGTTAGTTGAAAAGGAAAGTTGGAGTCAGCAGAGTTACAGTAAGGTTGCCGTTGTCCTACTGAACTTGCTCAGAATTTGGGCTGTCTGGCCACTAATCTAATTTCTCTTCCATCCACTTAAGCTTATTTTTCCACGAAACAGAGGCTGCCAAAACCAGAGGGCAGGGGGGAGGGGATAGCAGGAATCTGAGGATATGAGATTTTTTTTTTTGTCCTGTTATAAGTTAATAATCCCATTCTAGGCTGTCATCCAAAAATATTGCTGAAAAATGCAAGCAGTGTACAAGACCCATTGTATAAAAGATAATCTAAATGTAGGACAGGAAGAGACCTGGCAGGTCAGCAAATCTAAACACAGAATGATATTATGCCTTATTGCACACCACTGTAATTCATTTGTTGCCAGCCTTCTGGGAAGGGGAAATTTCACACCTTAATTGAACTTATATTATAATCCTTTCTCCGATATATGGCTTTCTCTTACTTTGTATTTGCACTATGTCTGCTTCATTCTCCCCGTCTGGTGCTTTTCTCTTATCTGTGTAGAAATAGGAGTTGCATGCTTTTCTCTTTACTGTGCAATGCCAAACAAGCTACAACTCGCTGTCTGCTTTCATGAAGCAGGCTCCAGCTTCTGCTGATCCCTGGCAATTTTGAGCTGGGCTTCTTAATCTCCGAGTTCCCTGTGGATGAGCAGAGCTGCAGGGCTCAGAGGTCCTGTGCTTCTCATGTTTTGACACCTCACCTAGAAATAAATCCCTCAACCAGGTAGGTGCTGCAATTAACCTCCTCCTCAGGTTCCTACTGTCCTGTGATGGGGGGTGGGAAGCTGGGATTTTCCTCTCCAGGTGTCCATCTGACTTTTGTTTTCTGCTGTCAGCTCTCATTGTATTCCAGTCATTCTGTTGATCCCATTTTTATTGCATATCCCCATGTTCTGTGCTGGTTTAGTATTCCCTCAGCTTTCTCCCACTTGCTCTGTCATGAAGGGAGAAGTTAAGTAGGATGGAATCTCCCTCACTTGCGGTAGTGACCCCTGCTAGACTCGGACTGACTCCTTCATTTTCATTGTCTGTCTGATCCTTCTAGGTCTGTACTCTGTTTATTACAAATCTTTTGTTTGCAAACTTCTGATTTCACTGGACTGCATAGAAAATGGCTTCAAATATGTTGTAAGCTGAACTTTATCCCTGTCTTGTGTGCCAGGTATGCTGGATAGTTTTCCCAGAGTAGCTGAGCAGAAAATTTTTCTTACCAAAGCAAGCTAAGTTGCATTTTGTCCTTCTTTCCACCCAATTCACTTCCATGGCATCAGTTATTAGATGTGGGGTTTTTCTGCAGTGATTATTCTGTTGATGAGGATGTTTAACCCCCTCATTGTACTGTAACCATGAGTATAAGATGGGTGTAATTCAGCAGTGGGTAGCAGCACAGTAATGCAGGTTGGGCAGTGAAAACATTCATCGAGCTGAAACAGCTGAAGGAACTTCAGACAAACTCAGTGCTCATGTCTGAGCTCAGGTTAAGCTCCCACTTGAATATCCTTGCTCTTAATATTTGCAGTAAGGTCTATCAATAATGATTCAGAGAAAATACCACTGAACCAACCAAGTCAGGTCATGGGATCACACAGTGACACTGAACAAATCCAGCTCTGCTCAGGCCAAAATACTGCAGTTGGTAAGTGCTGATAAACATAAGCAGTTATCCCTACTCCATTAACATTGTTGCTTTTTATATAACTAGGTGAAAAACAGCTAAATATTTTGCAGAAGGTAGACTGCAGCATGATACCCCTCATGTTCAGTGCATGACTACCTGCTTCTGACCTAACAGATCGTAATCCCTTTGGCATTATCCACGAAGCTCAGGTTTATTCCAGTGTTTCTCAGCATTGCCTGTGAGCAGTTTACCATGCAGTGCTCATGAGCTTGGTCTCGCAGAGGTTGTCTTCCTCTCCCAATGGCCAGAAAAAGCACTGAGAGCACCAAGTGCTGCAACAGGACGGGCAAACAATCTGTGTTTTAATTTTACTGAGATTTCTCCAGTCCTGTGCTGCCAACCAGAATGCTAAGAACAAATCTGGGGATGGAAGCAAGTCACATCAAATTTTGAGTTTTGACTGTCTCCTAAAGAAGGGCAGCTTCATGCTCACAGGTCTGGTGTGGGGCTGTCACACCATTCCAGTGGTTCCAGTTCTGTAGGCATGTTTTAAGGACTGGAGTGAAGTACAAATTGGGAATGCTTAAAAAAAAATTTGAGTGACTTTTCAGTGCCTCGCAGATTCCTTGTCAGGGGCAAGTATCCTCTGGCTCCTTTTTCCTAGGAAGAAATAATAATGAGCAACAGATAAGTTTTATGATTGCTACCAGATAATGCCAGTGGTAGATGAGGTGATTTTATGAAACTGAATACGGAAGAAAATAGGGTGTGGGGTTCAAGCATGAGGCCCTGAGTCATTGCCTGGCATCTACAGGAGTGCCCAAAATTAAAAGTGATTGTGTGATGTGGCAGATGAACATTTGTTGCTGCTTTGTCAGTCAGCCTTTCACATCTGCAGAAAGCATCAGGACAGCATCTAACAGCATGGTGGGTTTTCTGTTTGATGTAATGAACACATATTGTTCATGGATTCAGCTGTTTCTACTATTTTAATACCTGAGCTGACATTTCAAAGACTAGGAATGCTGGAGCCACAGATCAATGAGAATCTTAAGCAAGCAGTAGTGTTTGCAAAAAGCTCTGTAGCATTTGATGGTGTATTTCAAGGTCTCTGAAAAACCAGCTGAACTGATACAGTACACCAGACAAAGCCAGAAAGGACTGAGAGACAGTGGATGAAGTCCTCATTCCAGCATTGGAGTCACTCAGCTGACTCCAAAATGTTTAATGACCACAAAAGAAACAGATTGCTTCAGGAGGGACATTGCTCCAGCTCTGTGTCCAGTATCACAGGAACAGACAAATGAAGAGCTGCCAAATGCTGTAGTTGGTAAGGCCTGATGTTGAACTTGGCATGGTTGTAATAATTATCACCAGATGGTGCTACTTGGCATTGACTTCCCTCTTGGTATTTTTACCAGACCTTTATTCAGCTGAGGTGTGAACAGTATTCATTTTGTGGAATGTTCGAGGAGCAGGGATTTGCTCTTTGCACTGCTGTTCCATCAGTCTGTGAGCAGGTGTCCTCAGTCAGTCCTCGGTGCTGAGGACTTCCCCACAAGGTACACAAGGAAAGTTTCAGCTGGTGGTTTGCATTGCTGCTCACAGAGTACCTGCAGACTCTCTGACACTGATTTTACCCCAGACCCAATTTGCAAAGCCATCGTTGCCTCTGCTGCTCCCAGGCTGATGGCTGATGCTAACATAGGACATCACTTGTGGCAGCTGGCCACCTTAGAACTTTGTGGGTCTCCACTTTTCCAGATGGGAAAGCTGAGTCACATTTTAACAAGCAAGGACATCAGAGGAATTTGTAGATTGCTCCAGGAAAGTGTGGGAAAGAAGATATCCTACAACCATAAAACCTCTATATTTAGTGGTACTTTAAAATGGAAAGTGTTGGTGATTTTGCCGTTGCAGAGGTCAAATGAGCTCCAGTCCCATTTGCTCTGCACGGGGGGCCATAGCTGCCTGTCCCACCCCTTCCCTGTGTTCCCGAGGGTGGGACACTCCGGCCCCACTGCTGTCCTGGGGACTGCAAGGTGAGCCCTTCCCTTGCCGGGGGCACAGCCTCTCCCAGCACACCCTGGCTGGCAGAGGGAATGAAGGGAGGGAAGCAGCAGTAGCCCCCAGGGCAGCAGCAGCAGCAGAGCCCCTTTCCTTTCTCCAGATCAATGAATGAGGTTTGCATCATCTTGACTGATTGATTTATTTAGTTATTTATAGTTTTGGTGAGCAGCTCTGCTTTTGTCAGTGCAGAAGGCATAGCTGTTAGGCTGGGCTCCGTGGGTTAAGTTGCATTATTTTTAATGAGGCAGCTATCTCCGTGCTGCTTCTGTTCTGCTGGCTTCCCCTTTCTGGGAGCTGTCTGCTCTTTGCTTGTCCTGCTTTTCTGTTAAGTCATTGCTGAGCATTGGCTGGAAGCAGTGAGCTAAGCATTAGCTTTATTTTCTGACAGAGGCCCCAGCTGGAAACAGAAGTTCCCATAGTACAGGGCAGCAGCTTTTTGTGAGCAGTGCTTTCCTTCCCACAGCCTACTGAGAAGTCAAACCGTGGCAAATGAACTCATCCCACCGTCCGGCCCAGATCAAGGTGCTTCACCTAAATAAAAGGATGGCCCCTGCTGCCAGAGGATTTACTCCCAGGAGTGGGTGCAGCCCTCACCAGGGGCTGCAGGAGGAGAGGCAGAGCCACACAGCCCTCCCTGGACCATTCCTTGTGCACTGGCTCATCTCTTCCATCAGCACTGCAGTGCTGAGCCCATTCCCTCTGTCCCAGCGGGTCCCCTGGGGGCACAGGGTAGCACTGGGGGGTTCTGGGGAGCAGCTCTGGGGTTTTGTCCCCCTCCCAGCCCACAGCTGTGCACCCTGGGTGGCTGCATCAGCTGTGTGAGTAAGCCTCCCTCCTGCCCCAGAAACAGCCACAATCTCCTCTGTGTGTTTCTAGCTCAGAAAAGGCTGATTCATTCTCTGAAGCAGATTAATTACTTCTGCTATTTAGAAAAGAAAAGGAAAAAAAAAGATATCCTTTAGAATTGGTCAGCTTAACTTTCAACTGGGTGCACAATGCAGTGAAGCAAATCTGCTCTGAGCCAGAGCAAAGAAGTTCACACAGAGTAAGAAACTGTAAGAATGCAATATTTACCTGTCGTGTCAGCAGTGGGCTCTGCAATTTAGGAAGTATTTGTGAATGTGTCTTCTTCTTGACTTATATAACAAATGGCGCAAATGTGAGCCTGCCATGAAGATGAATGGGGGGGGGGGGGGGGGTGGGAAACAAATGTTTTTATTCCCTGATACATTTTATAACTTGTTTCCTTTCTGGTTTGTGTCATGCCGATGTGGCAGCAGGCTCCCTGAGTAGCTCTCATCTGAAAACTGGCTGAGCTGCTCCATTTCCCCCTTGGAAGGCTGCTTTCCAAGCCTGCCTGGCTGTGCTCACTTGTTTATGCACTGATGGGCTGTAGTTTCCCATTTCAGAACAAGCTGTCCAATATTCATGAGTTATTTTATATTTATCCAGTTCTGAAGCTTCTTTTATAAGCCTGGGGATAAATTTTGGGTTTTGTTGTTTCCATTACTGGAAATGGACTGAACCTTCACAAACATTAGCAAGCCTTAAATAAGGCCTCTATTTATCTAAAAAGGAAGGGAAAGGACTAACACAAAGCTAAATTGATTTACAAGCCTGTAATTCCCAAACCCCTGTTCTGATAACACGTGTAAGAAAGTAAGCCATATGTGAAGAGATGAATCACTTATAAATTTATATCCTAATATTCATTGTATATTAACTTATCAGACAAATATAGTGATTTTCCTCTTGAAGATTAATGACAGCCACATGTTCAGCTGGCATAAAGCACTGCAACTCTTTGGACTATTCAAACCTGAGGATATGATTGAACAACTAATTTGTTTGCAAAGAACAAAATAGTATCTAAAGTGATAAGGAGAAACTGAAAAGGGTCAAAATGATAATCATTAGATATCCTGCCTGTACAGTAAGGTCATTTTGACCAAGCATGAGACCTTTCCCATGATCCCCAGTTGACTGGCCCATACTAAAATCTCTTCACATTAATACAAAGACTTAGCTGGAACTGT